CGTGACGACATCCAACGAAGAGGTCAGAAGCTGGACCTCCTCTTTAGATGCGCCAGACGGATCAGCTTCATGACGCCCTAATACTATTCAAGAGACCGCAACGCTTTGGTACCCGACCGACTTAGCGGCAGTTTTCCGTACCGTTGGTGGTAGCGACATCCATGTGTGGTGCACTCCAAGTCTCTCATTCAACCTGTATCAGACAGTTTCAGCGAGCTTCTTATGGGTGGTCAACGTTCCGCGACGGAGAAAACACGGTAGGCTCGTCGTGCCGGCAATGCGCGGCCTCAAGGCACCAGGTACAACGCTGAGACGACGTGATCCCGCAGGTAACGCGAGCCCAGATCCCGCAAGCCAGTGGCATCCCGGTGTGAGTCCTTGTTTAGGCGGCATCGAACTGGTCGCTCCAGCGATGCCGTCATGCGCATGTGCTACGCCAGCTTCCCCGGGCGTTCTCCCGTGGATCACGTCCCACCATGATATCCTCAAGGAAGGATACTCGCAGCGTGGGTGAAGGATTTGGGGAGAATGTCAGGCATCGACCCGTGTTTACCCATACTAATACGACTATGGTGTTCCCTGCAAATGCTGATCTACAAGGTTGGCCGGATTTACTGCTTGGTCGGTAATACCAATTGATTCTCAACTATCAAAATCCCGCTATAGGAAGCGGCAACACGGTGAAAAGAAAACTCAAGAGACGTACCCACAAGGCCACCCCCACAGTCAAACCGCAGATCTAGACCGCCAGATCCGACAAGATCGCATTCCAAGCGTAAAGCTGATACAGTATAACTGTTAAAATCTTTTGATAATAATACAAAATATGCCAATAAATTAGGTTTGTCAAAATTTATCAAACTATTGTGTAAACCTAATTTGATAAACTACCTGTCATTTCTGTCGAGATTTCTAATGAATTGAGCATTTGTATCTACAGGTTTCTAATCAATACACACCCGGGGGCACAAATCCATCTATGAAGCCATCTGCTGGTTGTCCCTCCGCCCTGCATTTTGACGTCATTCCGATTTAACCATAAAGCCAGCGTCATGTCCGTCGCGCCGCAGGTCGTTCCGTGCGGCTCGTACGACATCGTACTGGGCTCGTTGCTGCTGCAGTCGCGCTTCGTGGCTGAGGATCTGCTGCAGCGTCTGCCGAACACTTCCACTTTCGTGATCCTCACGGATGCCAACGTCGGTCCGCTGTACGCCGAACCGCTGCGTGCACAGTTGGCCGAGCTGCTACAGGCTCAGGGCAACACCGCACGCCGTGTATTGCTGCATGCTGTTCCTGCGGGTGAAGCGTCCAAGTGTCGCGAGATGAAGGCGAAGATCGAGGACGAGGTCTTGTTCCCCAACCGTTGTCACCGTGACACGTGCGTCGTGGCTGTAGGCGGCGGCGTCGTGGGCGATTTGGCCGGATACGTGGCCTCCACCTACATGCGCTTTTAAGGCTGGTGTGGGTAAAGCGACCCGTGATTGGCTGAGCTTGGTATCACCTTGTGTACCCGTCGGCGGGCGGGATCTGCTCTCTTGAGGCTTCGAAGGTGATTGATAGGTGTAGTCAAAACCGTTATGATGGGGCGCGAGATGTGTGGGGCAGTGCGGAAACTCTTCGCTCTGCACCCGAGTATATGATTTAGATCGAGTGCCCGATCGATCCTGATCGGCTCCGATTGAGCGGCCTGGGCTCAATCCAAGTCCGTGTGTTTGCCTAGCTGACTGCGTTCCCTCCCTATCCGGATGTCTTGCTGCTTCCGATAGCGGGATCTTCGTGGACGAGAGTCGATCGGACCGCCAGCCAAGCACCAAAGTCTGGATCGATCGAGGACTTGAACGCAATACGCAGGGAAAACTAGTGTAGGCAGATCTGGCCAACATATTACACCAGATCTTACGCTACGTTGCTAGTTCCGCTACATTTGTCTTCTACAACGCTTGCCAGGGCCGAAGTTTTTCCTGGGTTCGTATGTTTGACGGCCACGCGTGTTCTTCTAAGCAAAGTCGACTCGGATTGATGTTTACTCTATATCTGCCTACCGTCCATCCCGACCTGCATCCTACGTATTCCTATGCTATAACTCATCTGTCTACTAGCTCTCCCCATATTCCCACCGATCAACCGATCAGTGATCGGTCGGC